CAAGACCGAAGGGAATACACTCACAACTCCCATTCTCCCTGAGGGTGTCAGGTTGGCAGCAACCCCTCAGGCACGTGAAAAGACACGGCTGTACCTGCGTGTGTGCTGCCTGTACACCTGCCCAGTGACAAAGCTGTTTCCATTCAGTTTGTCGGGTACATGGGAGAAAAATGGCCCGGGGGTTCCACCGTGCCCCCCTCACCAAAGGTGGACGACGCACCGCAATGCAGACCCGGACAAGCAGCGACGAGCCGGTCAGGGTCCGGATGACAGTGGCAGTGCCAAGGGCCCTCGGCGGGGGGTCGCCTGGGTTCTCCTCCAGCTCCGGACACACAACTCCTTTGTACAACAAGCCTTGGGGAGATTCGTTTATGTCTCTTCCTTCTTGAATAGCTACAAAACACTCCAAACTGTAGCAAAGTGTAGCCTTAATAATTCTCTCTTTTTTTGTTCAGATAGAGTGGGAGGGAGAGAGAAAAACATCCACGTGAAAGAGACACATCGAGTGGCTGCCTCCCACACGACCCAACCAGGGCCGGGGACAAACTGCAACCAAGGTACATGCCCTTAGCGGGAACCGAACCCGGGTCTCTCCGGACCGCAGGCCGACGCTCTAACCGCTGAGCCAAACTGGCCAGAGCCTTAAAAATTCTCTTGGTGACTGGCTCTGAAAATTTTAAATCGGTTTGCTTGGTCTGAACGTTTGTGTTCCCCCAAATTCACATGTTGAAAACCTAAGGGCCATGGGGCCGGCGTGAGGAGGGTCCTTTGGCGGCCCCCCAAAGAGGAGGGGTGCTTCTCGGACAGTGGCCGAGACCTCGGAGGGTTCCGAGGTCTGCCGACCCCAGAATTTCGGGAAATAAATCCTGTTGCTTATGAGCCGCCCGGTCTGTGGTATTGTTATAATAACAGTTCAATGAGTTCAACAGAACACAGGTGTGAGGGGGGACACGGCAAAAAAAACCTGGGGACCACGTTCTGCGAGTCACAGGGGGATCCTAGTCAACCAAGACCTCGGGGACCCCAGCAAGCAGAGCCCTGTGCTTTCCCATCACCATCTGAAAGTCAGGGCTTGCAGTTTAAGTTTAAAGAACATGGATGTACAGTAACCCAGGGGCTATCTCTGCTGGGCCCAGGCCCTGAGGGGCTCAGTAGGCAGACACAGCCCCCAGGGTCTCCTTCCTCCCAGTCTGGGGTCTCCCTGAAGGGCCTTCTGAGGGGTCTCAGTCACTCACCAGATTCTGACACCACCCCCTTCCAGTCCGCAGCCTTGGTGGTTCCCATTCCCTCCCGGGACAAGGCCCTCTGCCCCACAGGGCCCAGCCCTCCACCCCCCTACCCCCCTCACCTCAGCCCTTCTGCAGCCTAACCCCATCTTTACACCCTCCTCTGCCTCCGCAGACTGGCACTGGGAGGGGAGGACTGCTCCCTCCTCCAGGCCCACCCCAGAATCCAGCTCCTCCCCACCTCCCCAGGACAGAATCAATTACTCCTCATCAGCGTTGTCCCAGCACCTTGGGTAAACAGACCTGGATTGGGCACTTAGCCCATTATGGTCTCATTAAATGTTTACCTGTCTGTCTGCCCCAGCTTGGTGCAGGGACCCGGTGAACACAGACAGTTCCGGGGCGGGGGGGGGGGAGGGGGGCAGACAGTACACTGTAAAACAGAATGAGGGAGCTCACGTTGCCAGGCAAGCCTGGCTGGGGGTGGAGGGGCTGGGGGACCCTAGACTGGACACACCCTCACCTTTGTAGAAGGGCAGGCGTGAGAACCCAGTGGGGAGGGAGCCGTGAGGAGCAGGCAGCCGGGCGCAGGCAGCGCTCACCGCTCACAGATGGGGAACTAACGCCCCGTGAGCCTGGGCTCTGCGCTGCTGAGCACGCAGGGTCAGACCAGGGTGTCTGTCCCTGAGAAGTCCACAGATCTCTCTGCCCTGCCACGACAGAGCCACTTCTGAGCTCCAAGCCGGACACACACAGGTCATCTCTTGGGGGGGATCAGAAGTTCTCATTCTGAAATCTCCCAATCACAGTGAGCCTCCCCAGGGCCTGGTGGGTGGGCTCTTCTTCGCTTAGCTCCTCTGAGTCTGGGTGACCTGGTGTCTTCTCCCGCCTCCAGAAAAACAGGTTCGCCAGCAGTGCCCCGGAGGCGCAGCGGGTGTTTTGTGTTGTCACATCCTAATATTGACACTAGGAAAATCAGCTGCTCTCCCCGAGCCCGCCCAGTGCCCTGGTCACCAGACCTGGCCTTACTCTTGCCTGGGGCCAACAAGGAAGACAGGCCAGCCGTGGCCTTATCTGCTTACATTCCCCGTTTCTCCCGGGGCAGGGCCGGCCCCAGCCAACCCTCGGCAGGACAAAGGGACGAGGGGGTGGCTGCACTCGTCCACTCCTGACCGCTGCAGGCTTCCTGGTGGCCGCCAAAACAAAACCCGAACGTGCCGGGGACTTCCTTGAAACCTCTTGGAATTGTTCTGAGCAGAGAGAAAAACAGCCGGACTCTCGTGGGGTCCACTCTGTCCGAGGCAGGGGAAGCAAGACGCCATTAATTGTCTACAAACTTAATAGGGTCACTACAAACAGGATGCTTTCCAGGGAGGGGAAGTGCCTCCAGGGTCAGCTTCAAGGCACAACTGAACGGATCCCTTCCCTGAACCCCTTCAGTTTGCTAGAGCGACGATCCGAAGTGGGGGAACAGTGCTCTCTGGTTTCTTTGCAAGCTCAGCTTTTTTACCTACTAACCATCTAAAACTGACAATAGTCCACATGCATACAAGCCTCTGTCCAGCTTCTCCCCAGTGCCCAGACTGTGACATTTGGAGCATCTGTTCTCATCGAAACGCAGGCTGGCCTAAGTCACGCCGAGTGAACCCAAATGGGCCATTTCACAGTCTTTAGTGTCCTGAAGGCAGTAAAATAAGGTCCTAGGACAGAAGAGCTGGTGGGAGGAGGAGGAGGGCAGCACCTTTAGGTGAGACAGTCAGGGAGGGTTTCTCAGAGGAGATGGCACAGAAGGCTGGGGAGCGTGCTGAGCCGATCACCCCCTTTGTTTTAGGCCTTGCACCATCCCATGGAGGCCTCACGGGATCCCTGGTGCTTGGAGAAACACACCTGCTAAGATAGTTCCCACCAAAAACAAGATCAACTGGTGGCCAATTCAGAAGGTTTATTAAATATGTTCCCCTGCCCAGGAGTACGCTCGGAGGCACTGGTTGAAAGCCCACAGCTCAGAAGCCAGTTTCCCTAGTCTAGACATACTAAAACAAAAACTAGCAAAAATAAGTGTGCACAGCCCAACGTTGGTTGGTAACACTGGACAAGCCACAGCTAAATCAATCGGTGACAACCTTGTGACCTTGAGGTTCAGAAGATGGTGGGAAATCCCCAAATCCTGGTGTGAGAAGGGAGCGAAATAGTGGAGGAGAGATGAGGCAGGAGGGAAGAACAGAACTCAGGGAGCAGCCAGGGACCAGGACCAGATCCTGCCTTAGATCACTTAGGCAACTAGTGCAAAACAGTACCAATAATACAAAAATGTGCCACTCCTAAGAATTTATTCCTAAGGCATGCCCAAAATAAGTAGAATAAGGTTCATGTATTAACTCCAGGGAAGCCACTAACAGCTAACACTGGTCGGAAATCTCATGGACCCATTTTACAGAATGAGCAAACTGAGGCTCCGAGGTGGCATAGCCCATCTAAAATAACACAGATGGAAAGTGACCATGCAGAGGGTTTTTGTTTGGCTTCCCCAACACGGCTCTGGGTTTTTTGCTAGATGGCATTGAAGTTGCCTCCTGGAACGTCACAGTTTCTCCATCTATAACATGAGACCCCATGCGGAGACCCAGCGGCAGAGCTGGATAGTTTGTCCCTTCCTAGCGGGGGAAGGATGAGGCCGAGAACCTCCCTTCCTAAGGATCTGGGGCGAAGCTGACAGAGAAAAGGCTTTCCACCGCCTAGACACAGCAGGTGCTGGGGCAAGATGTTACCACTGCAGCAACAACAAAAACAACAACAATGTCCAGCCCCCGGGGGGCTAGTGAACATTACAGTAACAATTAACGGTTTACAAGACGATTCGGAGGCCTGAGAGAGTAGTGAGAACCCTACACCCAGAAGCAGCAGGTGCTGGGGCAAAATGTTAGGGCTGCAGCAACAACAACAAAACAACAACAACGTCCAGCCCCGGGATGGCTTGTGCTAGCGAAAATTACAGTAACAATTAACGGTTTGCAAAGCGATTCGCGCCCAGGAAGGAGGCCTGAGCGGGTAGCGAGAACCCAAGCGCGGAGCTCTGGGCGCGCGGGGCGGGCGGCAGGACCCCTGCCGGTCACCGGATGGAACGCGAACCGGCCGGCGGGCTCCCGGTTCACAAGAACAGGCCTCGGCGCCCGGCGGGTCGTACGCCGCCCCCGCGGGCGCACCTGTGCAGGTTCGGGCAGGCGGGGTGGCGGCCGCGCCCCGCTCGCCAAGTTCCTGCTCCGACTTCCCCGCATCCCGTCATCAAGCCTGTCTCCTGCTCCCGGCAGGTGCGCGGCGACTCGCGGCCCCTCCGGCCCCACGGGGACAGTCCCCGACGCCATCTTCCCTTTTTTGGTGGACACCCGGGCTGGCCCCGGGCGCGAGGCCCCCGAGGACCCGGGTGCTTGGGCCGGAGGCCGCGCCGGAGGGCGGAGCGGGGCAACGGGGCATCACGTCCTCCGCGCCCGGCGCAGAGGGGCCGCCCCATCGCTCTGATGCGGACACTGAGGCCCACGGGGCTGCGGCTGGCACCATCGCCCGCGGGGCCCCGGAGTCCACGCCAGAGAGGGGGCGTTTCGGAGCCGGGGTCTGGAAACGTCGCGCAAGTGACACACCCGACAGCTGCTGGGGGCAGAAAAGCCCGATCACAGGTCTCCAACTTCCCAGCCGCTCGCCGCCTGGGGCGGCTCCCTGGGGCGAAGGGGCAGACAGCGGGATCAGGGTCCCGGCGGGGGAGGCAGGGCTCAGACTCACCTCGCGTCGGTGGCGGCGGTGCCGGGGGTGGCGGTGCCCGCAGCGCTCCAGCGAGGAGGCGTATTGTGTGCAGCTGCCGGCCAGCGGGCGACCGTATAAGCCGCCGGCCCCGCCCCGCGCCGCCCCGCCCCGCCCCGGGGCCGCCTCTCGCGCCCCAGCGCGCTGAATCCAGGACCGGTACGAGTACTAGAGTAGCCCAGGACTGTTTCCTTGTTTATACCGCTCTGCGTCCTGCAAGCTTGTTTGGTCGCGTGCGTTTTCCCAGCTCGGGTGTGCACGCAGTAGCCCCGGGGGATACCTGGGGATGAACCCACTGGCTGAATTGGGGTATATAATCCAGCATCCTTACATGGCTTCCTCCCTTCGTCCAAAAAGCAGTCCTAAGGGCTGGGTGTATTTTTCATGCCCATTTTACTGATGAGAAAACTGAGGCTCAGAGAGGACAAAGTGACCTGCTAAACAAAACAAAACAGTGTAAGTCCAGCTGGTGTGGCTCAGTGGCTGAGCATCTACCCAGGCACCAAGAGGTTGCCAGTTCGATTCCCGGTCAGGGCACATGCCCAGGCTGTGGAACAGATCCCCTGTGGGGGCATGCAGGAGGTAGCCACTTGATGTTCTCTCTCATCCATGTTTCTATCTCTCCCTCCCTCTCTCTCTAAAAAATAAGGAAAGAAAAAAATTTTTTTTAAAAAAACAGCCTGAACTCAGACCTCCAATAGTTGTTCTCTTTGAGCTGGAAGCTCTCTGGGGATTAGGTTTTATTTCAGTTTCCCATTTTTTTATTGTGGTAAAATACATATGAAATTTACCATCTTAACCATTTTTTTCATCCTCACCCAAGGATATTTTTCCATTGTGGAAGGGAAGGAGGGAGAGAGAGAGAAACATCGGAGATCGAACCTGCAACTGAGGTATGTGCCCTTGACTGGGAACTGAACCTGAGCCTCCGGTCTGCAGGCTGACGCTCTAACCACTGACCTAAACTAGCCAGGGCCCATCTTGATGTTCAGTGGCATTAATAAATACATCCAAAATGTGCAACCATCACCACCATCCATCTCCATAACTTTCCATCTGGTAAAAGAAACCCCATACCCATGAAACAACCTCCTTTCCCACCTGCCCCCGCCCCATTCCCCTCTCTCCCTGCTGCCCCCTACCCTTCCTGTGGCACCACTCACAGCACCCCCATTTTCCTGCCTCCCACAGTGTGGTCTACCAGGCCTACTCTGGGGATCCTGGGCCCAGGGGAAAGTGGGGGGCAGAGACCACCCCTAAAGGCCCTGGAGGGGGAGAAGAAATCAGAAGGTTCCAGGTGGGGCGGGAGGCCCTGGGGCAGGTTTGGGAGGGGCGGGCTCTGGAGGGGTGGGTAGGTCTGTGTTGGAGGTGGAGGGCGGTTAAGTTACAAAGTAACCTTGTCCCAGGAACACAACAACAAGGCTTGTTTACCTCAGTCCTGCAGCTTCTGAGGACAGGGGAGCAGCAGGGCCCCAGGGGGTTCCCCTGCTCCTAGTTCTGTCACTTGCTACCAGTTGGGTCCCTCCACCCTTTCCCACCTCTGGAGCGGTGACAGTGTTACCCACTTTTCCCTCTGTGTCCTCATCTGAGAAATGGGATGACCGCCGCGACATCCCCTCCCACCTCCCACCCCGACCCATGCCCATCCCAAACTGGGAGAGGGAGAGTCAGAGGAGATAATCCTAAATGTTTACTAAACTCTGAAAATTTAAGCTCCAAGTCCCCTCCCTTCCTGGGGGCTCTTCTGGCCTCCTATGATTTTCTAATCCTTTCTTTGAGGGTCTCCCCCAAATCCCACTATCTCCCAGCCTCACAAAGCCAGGACAGCACTGACCTTCCCTAGTAGCCACAGGGTGTCTTCCAGGCAGGAGTGAGAAGCTAAAAATAGGGGGCTGTCTCCAAATTCACTCTGCAGATGAAAAAACAGATGGAGGAGGCAATGACACAGGATCTCCTGGGCCAAGAAGACCCCAGGGTGGGAGAAGCTTCCAGAGCCGTCGGAGGCTGAAGGCACAGTGCCGGCACACAGTAGGTGTTCAGTAAACACTAGCAAAACTGATGGACGAAGGACAGCTTGGGACAGATGAGGCACAGGAAGGCCCAAGGTAGGGGTGGGTGAGAATATTTGCCTTGCAAGGCCTCAAGATAACAAGATAACACGTGCTGATCAAATGGACAGGAGGAGGAAAACACCTTTTGAATAAGAACTGGGCTTGTAGAAGACCCTGGTTTCTTATCAGTCCACAATAAGCCTTGGGGTAGATGGCCAATGATAACAGCAATAGCAGTAATATGGCAGCCACCACCATCTGTTCAAGTCCCCCTGTCTCAGGACTAAACACTTTCTAGGATCCCCTGTAATCCTCACACCTGCTGCACGGGGATGGCCATCCTGTGTGACAGACACCGGAGCACCCACAGGGCTCTGGGCACAGGCAACAGAGAAGTTGTAGCCCCATTTTACAGATGAGGAAACTGAGGCTCTGAGAAAGGAGGCCACTTGCCGGCGCTCACCCAGCCTGTGGCAGACTCAAGCCCAGGTCTCCCTACACCTCCTACCCTTTCCGCCCCTCCGCAGCAGGCCCCCGACGCCCTGCTGGAGTTCCCCTTTCTCCACTGGGAGTTGCTGGCCTGTCCCGGGCCATCGGGCTGTGTGGATCCTGCCCTCTAAGAGGAGGCCTTGACCCCATGGGACAGCCCCTTTCTTCCCTGGGGACCTCCATCCCCAGCGGCCTCCATGACACCAATGTAGGGTTGAGTTTTGTCCTTGATATGATTATTTTTATCACTCATATAACAAATATTGATTGGCACCTATAATATGCCAGGCAGGTGGGTAGATGATGGGGACCTAGAGATGGCACATTCTAGTAGGGGGCTTGTATCAAAGTGAGGGAGACAATGGAGCCAGGGTGCTGGGCAGCCTGGCACACTGCCAGCACTCCAGGGAGAGTAAAGCCAGGCAGTGAGGGGACAGTTGGGGAAGGAAGAGGCTGTTAGCCAGGTGGTCAAGGGGAGCCTCCTGAGGATATGACCGCCTGCAGACTCGAGGGAAGGGAGGAGCTGGGCTTTCTGGGGTGAACAGCCCCCGTCCCCCGAGGGCAAGGAGGGGAGCAGCAGGCTGGAGAGCTGGCCACTGTGTGCCAAGGGCTGGCCTCAGCATCCAGGGCCCCCCAGGGGACCAGGCAGCAGCTCAGGCTTTCAATGGCCCTGTTTTCCCACTTGCCATCGCAGACTTTTGTCCTCAGCCTTTGGGACACCTTCTCTGGAAAGTCCTCCAGCTTTGAGACAGGCCTTGTAAGACCCGGAAGGACCCATCCAAGGGCTTTGCTGTCTCTCCAGAGTGGGTCTGAGCTTGCCAGGCTCTAGAGCAGCCCGACAGCCATCTCCACGGCAGCACCTCTGACCGCCCGGTGGGCGGCTCGTGGGGGCACCTTCCCAGGTGAGGCCATCGAGAGCCTCGCGTCACTGGTGACTCCTCGTGCCCCTGCTGGCCCCCTGCAGGGAAGGTCTCCCCGCTACACAGGTGAGGCAACTGGACCTCAGAAAGGGGTCCTAACAGGTCCAAGGCCACACAGCCAAGCAACTGGACGGTGGGGCTTGAACCCAGGTCTCTCTGGCCCATCTGACTTGGGGTCTGTGGCTGGGCTTCAGGGAAGTATGTGAACCCCTAAAGTGAAGCAAGATTGTGATGGGGCATCAGCCTTTTCTGGAGGGGAAACCTGCAGCCCGGCAGAGGGCGGGCTCACTCAGCCCTGGGTTTGGAGCTTGTCTTTGCCTCGCCCCATCCTCGGGGGACGCCCCACCTCCCAGGGCTGCTGGACCGATGCGAGGCCGGAGTCTCAGCCCCGTGCCTGGCACGCAGGAGGTGGTGAGGCGTTTAACACTTTCACAAAAGAAACTGTATCTTAGGGATGTGTCATCTAGTAAATAAAATAACACACTTCACAAATCAATGTGTCCGGTACTGTTATAGGAAAGGGGACCTGTCCCTGAGCGGGTCTGCCTAGGGCCCAGCGGTGGCGTGTGAGTTCTTGACTTGGTGCAGGAAAAACTTCACAGCACGAGCCCAGGTGAATTTTAGAGGACATTTATGAAAGCTGGGGACAGCCCTGGCTGGTTTGGCTCAGTGCTGAGAGGGTCGGCCCGTGGACCAAGGAGTGGTGGGTTCATTTCCGGCCAAGGGCACATACCTTGGTTGCTGTTTGTCCCCAGCCCCGGTTATGTCTCTCTCACATCGATGTTTCTCTCTCTCTCTTCCTCCTTCCCTCCCTCCCACTCTGTCTCAAGATAAATGGAAAAATATCCCTGGGTGAGGATAAAATAAAAAAAGCTGGGGGTGCCCAGCCGGTGTGGCTCAGTGGTGGAGCGTTGACCCATGCTCTAAGAGGTCGCCGGTTCGATTCCTGGTCAGGGCACATGCCCAGGTGGTGGGCCCAATCCCCAGTGGGGGGCATGCAGGAGGCGGCCAGTCGATGTTCTCTCTCATCGATGTTTCTCTCTTCCTCTCCCTTCCTCTTTCTCTAAAAATCAATAAAGAAAAATACATTTAAAAAATAAATAAAGCTGGGGACAGTGAAGCAAGGAAGGCTTAGCATAGAAGCAGCAGGAGAGAGCCAGGTGGGGCTGCTTTCACTCACTAAGAGGCAACAGGAGAGTTCGCGCAATGGTTAGAACCTGGCCCCAAGTCTCGGGTTCGATTCCTAGTCAAGGGCATGTACCTGGGTTGCAGGCTCTGTGGGAGGCAACAAATCGATGTATGTCTCTCTGCCTCCCTCCCTCCCTCCCTTCCACTCTAGCTAAAAATAAATGGAAAAATATCCTCGGGTGAGGACTAACAAAAAAAAATTATTATTAAGAAATATATAAAAAGAAGCCACAGGAGAGACCTGGGGGGGGGCTGCTTTGGCTCACTGAGAAGTCAGAGAAAAGGGGGGCCTTGGGGACAGGTCCAGGGGGTTTGCCTGAGATGAAGGGCAGCTGCCCTCTTGGCAAGTCTCTGGGGTCCCTTAGGGCTTAGGAGATGGGGCA